ACGAATCTAGTATACCTTTTTACTCTACAAGTAACGGGTATAATTAATCGAGGATCGAGAGTGGGCTATGGTAGAAATCAAGAAGAAAGTGTTCTTGAAATCAAACCAGATTCATATTTAAATCAAGCAGAAATCGTTCTTAAAAACAAGCAAAGTTTCGTCTCGACAAAATATATATTTTACTATTATCAAGAACGATTTACTCTTGGAAGCGAGAGCGCCTATGCATGAAATTGAGAGCGCTTGTTCTTGAATTCGGAAATTCATCTCCTCGAAATCGAGACAACTTATATTCAAAAAAAATTTCTCAAGCCAGAGCAGTTCTTCTTGATTTTATTAAAAGCGCGCTCGTCAAATTATTGAGCACGGAAATACTGATTTCAAAACTTATGAGAACGTCTTTTTTCTCGGTGTAAGTGGTCCAAATTTGCAAACATGTACTCACTTTTGCTTCCCACTGTAAAAAATAAAAAAACTTTTTTTTGTAAAATAATTTCAGAGAAGGAAGAACGCTATAGTCGAGTGCCTCGACTATCAGATACCTGTTACTCAGCTAAAGGGACCAAAGGGAGATGGAAATATGCAAGCAGCAAAGCGAGATTGTAATAATCACTAGCCATGTTCTTGGACGTTGATGCACTATGGTCAGTACAAACAAGTGGCCCTTACGACACCAAGCAATGCTTGTTACGCGCGGAGACCTAAACCGATTTGGGAAAGTAAACGAAATCGCGGACATTGAAAAAGACGACATAACAATAGACAGTTTAAAATACATGCTCACATAGAATGGCTAGTAACATAGAAATTTACAAGTTATTGGAAGATAGAAAATACATAAGTTTATCATAATTAGTTGCATTAGGGCTATCAAACAGTAAGACGTGACACAGTGCATTATAGTCGTCACAAAGAACCCGAAAAGGATCATGAAGGACATAATTGGATCTACAAGTTGGCAGGGACAACGGACGAAAACGACAAACTGTTCTACAGGGTACATTCCAGTTGAGGGAACTAAGAAGGAAGGGAGAGTCAACATCACCATTAATTAATTTATGCAAAAACATAACTCCATGACACTTTCTACGATGGTTCAGGGTTGGTAAGTCCAGCAGGCGCGATCTCGCATGATAAGAGGGCAATCGACTTCCTGTATCCCAGCTTAAGCCTCTCAAAGCAAATAAACAGCTAATTTGAGGTGACCATATACACGAGCAATATTCCATTGACGGCCGAACAAGAGAAACATACAAAAGCTTTGTTGTGTATGGATCATCAAACTCCCTTGACCAGCGCTTCATAAACGCCAGGAGACTTCTGGCTTTGTTAGTTATAGTAGATATATGGTCTTTAAAACTAAGTTTATGATCAAATAGAAAGCCAAGATCCTGAACAGAAAAAATACGTTCAAGGGCGTTATTTCCGATAGAATAAGAGTACAGAGATGGATTACTACGATAAAAGGTCATAAAGTTACATTTAGAATAGTTCAAATTCAACATGTTAATCATGCACGACGTATACAAACAATCAAGATCTAATTGAAGGTCATTATATGAATTAGGTAAACACATGGACAAACATAGCTTGACATCATCTGCATACATTAAAACAGTTGACGATTTTATAACATAAGGTAGATCATTAATCATTAAGCCAAAAAGTAAAGGTCCCAGGTGGCTACCCTGTGGCACTCCAGAAGTAACATTCATTATTTTGGAAATTTTATTATTAAAACAGACCATTTGAGTTCTATTAGAAAGGTAGGAAAGTATCCACTCTAGTAGGTTGGGTGGAAAACCTAAAAGGGACAATTTATAAATAAGAATCCTATGGTTCACTGAATCAAAAGCTTTAGAAAAGTCGGTATAAATCACATCAGTTTGATGATGTGTCAAAAAACCTCTAGTAATTAAAGACGTAAATTCAAGTAGGTTTGTAGAAGTAAAGCGACATCTAGTGAAGCCATGCTGACAAGGTGAAATAACAGACCTGCAATGATGCTGAAACTGACAGGTAATAATTTTTTCAAAAAGTTTAGGAATAGAACTGAGTTTAGCAGTACCGCGATAGTTTGAGATATCGGACTTGTTCCCTTTTTTAAACAATGGTATAATAAAGGATTCCTTCCATATGGATGGAAATCTACATTGACTTAGGGACAGATTAAATATCAATGTTAAGGGAGGGGCAAGATAAGATGAACAATTCCTAAGTATACACTTGGTATTCTATCAGACCCGGTGAAAATGAGAGCTTGAGAGTATTAAGACTCCGAAGAACATTAGATACATCAATCACTGGTTTGAAGATAGAGTTCAAATGAGGTAGTGCGTATGGATAATCTTTATTAATGACATTATTGCATTTCGTATAAGTGGATTGAAAAAAGTCTGAGAATAAGTTGCAAATATCATTATTATCAGATGCTACATTATAATTGAGAAAGAGAGAGGGAGGGAAGCAGCTAGATTTTCGTTTAGAATTGACGAAAGAAAAGAAAAGCTTAGGATTACTTTTGAAATCACGCTTACAACGGGACAGGTAATTTTTGTAACAATCAGAATTGTACTGGACAAATTCCACCTTAGCTGAACTATACTTGGTGAAGTCTGTCTGTAAGCCGGATATTTTGAACCGTTTAAATAGTCTTGTTTTTTATTCTTCAATAAGATAGTTGACGGGTAAACCATGGAGAGCTGTAAGAATTCTTCATGGAGGAAAGAGGGACATGTTCATGAAATAGACGGTAAAGGATCTCATAAAAGTACCTAACTGCATCATCAACAGGAAGGTCAACGAGAAAGGACCAGCTTACTGTCGATAAAGATTCCACTAGTCTGCCGTAATCAGTCCTCTTAAAACACAAACTAGGCTGTACATTTATTGCAGTCCTAGGATTATTAAAAAAACCATTAATACAAAGCTGAAGGGTAGGATGATAACAATCTTCAGGTAAAGATAGTGGCGAAATACGACTGACTTCAGCATCGCTACTATCAAAAACAAATATTAAGTCAAGAAGACGACCAATATGATTGGGAATCCTGTTAACTTGCTGCAAAGATAGTTCAACAAGACCATCAATAAAATCATTTTGCATCCTAGGAATCATTTTCAATGAGTCCTTACTCTCCAACCAAGATATATTGGGAAGATTAAAGTCACCAAGCACAATAAGTTGGTCAGTTTCAGTAAGCAACAAGGAGATAGAATGTATAGCGGACAGGTGCAGTAGATACACGTTAAATTCAGAGCCAGGAGATATATACGAGCAGGTTAAAAAAATGTTTCCTTTTGGGAAAGATAATTTTACGGAAATAAATTCAATACCTGATGATTCAGAAATATCAACAAACTCAGAAGTTAAATTGGATTTGACTCCAATAAGAACGCCTCCTCCTCGACGGCTCTGACGATCCTTCCGATAAACAAAAAAGTTATTAGACAAAATCTCACTATCGTGTACGGATGGGTTAAGCCAGGTCTCAGTGAGTACAATAACATTGGCCTCAAAAATTGAACTATTTATATAAAGCGTAGAGAGTTTACTAAGAAGCCCCCGAACATTCTGATAGTGAATTAGGAAATTTAGTTTTTTGAATTTATATCAGAGCTGGGCGCCGACAAGCTATTTTTTTATATACTCGTGGACAATTATATCAGCAGGCCAAAAATTGGGGCAAAGAAGTTTAGAGAACAGCCCATCCGGAACAATTATTAGATCTAGTGCGATCAGCAATTTGGGCAGCACTATGCCCAAAGTCTGCACATTTTGCGTGCGCAATGTTCTCACATAACCAGCAACTAACAATTGGCTGCCGAGAAGTGATTTTACCAACAAATTGGCAACCAACAACACAGCAGGCAGATTTTGTTTACAAGTTGAGGTCAGTTAAATGTAGAATGTAGAAAAAGTAGGAAGCTTTAGATGAGTGCCAATAAACAGCTGTGTGGCTTTGCAAATCGCAGAGGAAAGATAAGAAAAGAGAGCGGTAAGACCAATTCGAAAATGAGAGCCGGTGACTGAAGTTGGGAAAATGTAGGAGAGCGAACGGTGCGAGAGAGCGCCAAAACAACAATGTAAATAAGAAACAACAACAATGCACAAAGCACCCGCGTCTTTAACTATTATCCAATAAAATAATAAAGATAATGGTTTTAACATAAATAACTAATTTGCATGCAAACGGCGGCCTCAACCGAGTTGAAAATGAAACTTTGGGAATATATCAGATCGGTAATTTAGACACTAGGCGAATAAATGTAGGAGCAAATATAAAACGCGTCCGTGTACAACAGAGACCGAATTCCGAATGATCCACCTACCCGCGATCTTAATATATGGTTATGTGGGCAGCGGACAGGTTTAAGCGTTATGGGCGTTAGAATGGGCGTATGGGTCAATCAAAAGGTATTGACAAGACTAATACACTTCAGCAAAAAAATTGTTATAGCATACAAATTTTGGGCGTGGCACATTCGCGTAACAAACGTTCGCTGCATACAAGTCTCCGGAATCTAGATTTGACATTTAAGTTCTCTATCTTTGATAGTTTCCGAGATATCCGCGTTCATACTTACGATATTTTAAGGTTTGTGGGCGGCTTGTTGGCGTTAAAGTGGGCGTGGCATCCTTTTATTAGGTCAATCGTTACACATTAATGAGAACAGTACTTCCCAGTTCAATTTTTTATTCTAGCATCAAAACTGTAGGAGCCACAGTTTTGGGCGGTTGGCGAGCGTTAGAGTGGGAGTGGCACACTGACGAAACAAACTTGCGCTGCGCAGGAATCTTTAGAATCTGCATGCGTAATCCCAGTATTGCAGCTTTTATAGTTTCTGAGATCATAGCGTTCATACGGACAGACGGACATAGCTAGATCGACTCGGCTAGTGATCCTGATCAAGAATATATACTTGTTGGATGCGCTGTTTCTGCCTGTTACATATTTTCCGACGAATCTAGTATATCCTTTTAATCTACGAGTAACGGGTATAACTATTGACACGGCTGGAATCTTTAATGCTCTTTACTTTTCAACTTTGCCGCAGATTGTACTTACTTTAAATCTATCTTTCGACCAATGCTATTCGATGTTTTCATTTTTTAAAATTGTGCTGTTTGTGGTTAACTATTATTTTCAAACAAATCTAAGTGATAGTTTGCGATTTCATTTTCTATAAAAATGTTAAGGTCACGGGAGTTATCATTCTTAATTTTATGCACAGATGTATTAACATTTTGTTTTTTATATCGCAGTCCAACTCTGAAAAGAAACAGATAGGAACAGCATACTCGTGGAACAGGACAGTAGCTTACATTCTTATAGAGGGTATGTCAGGAGAGCTTCTCATTTTATCGGAGGTCTTTGCTCTTAAGTAGCGATGCTTGATATCAACACCAGAGTGTGCGTCCTAAAAAATAAGAAGATCTTAAAAGCTTTCAGATGATAACACTGTTTTGGAGTGTACCGCAGTTAGGATTTTAAAATCTGAAAGTACTCATGAACACAAGTTAAATTATATTTGGAGTGAGCTCGCGTTTTTATATTATTGCTTATGATAATCACAGTATTGAAAGAAGTTTATAATTGTACTTTTCTATAAGCTTACCTTCAATACTGTTGTGGGCAATTTGAGCGGGCTCAAAAAATATTGCCCTCTTAAATCCAGCTTTGCACGAAAACTTTAAGTCCAAATATAATGTTCAAAGGAGAGCTAACCCAGACAAACCCCAAATAATGGTGGACGCCAAACTGCGGTTACATTTTTAGTGTTCCACTGTGTAACTGAAATGATTTACTCACATCTCTCATGTTATAGGTTATAACCAAGTTGTTGACGAAGCTTTCAAGAAATTCGGGATAAGCATCCAGTACGTCCAGCAAGTCGTCTCTGTGCAACTTATGAATATCGCAATATGTCAGTGCTCTTACCACTCCGTTAGATTTTCCAAGCGTTGGATATATACACGGATTTTCGCCGAAGATATCGTTTTTCCCTGAAGCAAACCAAATGTTTTATTATTTCTTTTTTTGTTTGTATAAAACTGCAAAAGTAACCAACCCAATACAACAATTATATTGCCACCTTTTTGAATTTCTATTGAGCCTCTGGCTATAAAAAATAATGAGGTAAGGACATCTCCTCTATGGACTAGGATATCACCAGGCGGCGCATGGGTAGTTTTAAATTTAAGGGAGAAAGCTCTGCAATTAACATTTAAGTTAACTTAAAGTTATCTAGTTATATTTAAACTTACCTTAGGCAACCAGGACTTGCATCCGAAAAAGCCGCACACGTTGTCAGTAACTTTCTGTTCAAATGAAGGCAAATATCTGCTTGTAGGCACTCGGGAAAACCTTTAAGCAACGAGCTCATATCTATCCCATTCGTATCTTAAAAATTCAAAAAATAACAATAAGTACGGAAATAGATTAAAATTATTACAGGTCCATGCGTGTTGGAAATATTCTTCTAGTCTTTGCCTTAGCGGATTTGGTATCTGTAAGGAAAGGACGAGGTAATGTCTGCAATGTATTATTCGCTTTGTAATACTAATACCTGGTGGAATCGAATAAACTCCCGAACACGTAACATTTGAGTATGATATCTTGCCGTTCCAGAGTAAAGCCTTGGTATTAGTAATAATAATAGTTATAATAACTAATAATTGTACCGTATTAGTATTATACCTTTGAATTATGGCGATACATTTCCAAAAATACTTGCATACATAAGAGCTTAAAAAATTAAAAAATTATTATATATCTAGATGTTATTGCAGTACAGATTTCTCCTACATCCAACAAGCATTACGCAAATAGTGAAAGCTTTTTCAGCATCAGTATTTGGTGCCACATTTCCAAATCCAACGGACGTGAGCGAGGTAAATGTAAAATATAAGGCTGTGATATACCGCGACTGCAAAAGTATAAATTTTTAGGTTATGGGCTTTAGTTAACTGTAATTAAACTTTACCTTTATAGAGGGTCCACCAGTTCGGTTATCAAAATAAGGTTCTTGAATATCATAGGCTAACGAATTTAGCCAACCGATGTTTTTCGCGGTGATAGATTTTTCGGCATTTCCAATTGCGTACCTGATATTGAGTTAAGAAATTTTAGTAACAAATACATATGTTATCTGTTTCATTTACCATATGCAGGCCAACCAATGGGCAATCAAAATAAAGGTAGCCATTAATAAAATAAGAACGGCAGCTCCATATTCCGAATAACGGTCTATTTTTCGGGCTACTCGAACTAGTCTCAAAAGACGCGCTGTTTTTAAAAGTCCTATTAATGTAGTTGTCTAGAATAACGAGTAGATACACAAAAAAGTTAATTAAATGTAAATTTCATGTTTTAGGCACTGATACTATAAGAAGAATAAGAAATAAGCTGATAAAAGAACAACAATTAGGTTATAAGCCTGAACAAGAAAGGACGCTAGCATCGGCAAGCCGATGTTTCTATACCTTTTCAGGTCGTTACTGTTTTTAGATAACTAAAAAAAACTTAAAAAAAAAAACTACTAAAAACTAATTACAGAATTTTAAAGGTAATGTTCCATTTCAAGTAACTACTGAATATGTTTACCGAAAACAAAATATAACGGCATTTGTATTATTTTGACATTAATTATTCGATTGTTCGCACGGCAGCTATACAATAAAGTCGAAATTCGGAAGTATTAAAAGAGTGTTGTGTTAATTTTTTTACAAAATTTTTTTTAAACATTCCTACGGGATATAGTTATCAGATCCGCCCCGTTATACTACCTACAATAGAAATAAGACTTTTGGGAAGGAAACCTTCCCGACAGCTTTTAAACTAAGAGACTAGCTTGCGTAGAAATGGACAGACGGACATGGCTTTATCGACTCGTCTAGTGATGCTGATTAAAAGTGTGAAACGTCTTCTTCACTGCGTTGCAAACTTCTGACTGAAATCATTATACTCTCTGCAGGCGTATAAAAACCAGGTCGTTGGTCAATCCAAGTTAGAGATATAATGTATTTTTGTATAACATGACTCCGCAAGCAAATGACTTGCTTAGTTTAAGATTTAAGCGTTATGGGCGTTAGAGTGGACTAATACACTTCATTTAAAATTAGCATGAAACCTGTGGGCGCTACAGGTTTGGGCGGCTTGTGAGCGCTAGAGTGGGAGAAAAAGTGTGCGTAACAAACTTGCGCTGCGTACAAGTCTCTCGGAAATTAGTTTCCGAGATATCTGCGTTGTTTGTGAGCGTTAACTTTTTTTATTGGTAGGTATTGATAAGAACAATACATTTTAGTTAAAATTTTTTATATTTTTTATTTTAGCATTAAAACTGTGGGAGCCACTGTTTTGAGCGGCTTCTGGGCGTTATAGTGGTGGTTGCACACTTACGAAACAAACTTGCCTGCGCAAAAAGATCAGGAATGTACATGCCAAATCCCAACTTTCTAGCTTTTGTAGTTTCCGAGAACTCAACGTTCATACGGACGGACAGACGAACAGACGGACAGACGGACATGGCTAGATCGACTCGGCTAGTGATTCTGATCAAGAATATATGTATATACTTTATGGGGTGGGAAACGCTTTCTTCTACCTGTTACATACTTTCCGACGAATCTAGTATACCCTTTTACTCCACGAGTAACGGCTATAATTAGCGCCGGAACAACATGGCTAGATAGACCCGGCTAGTGATCCTGATAAAGAATATATATACTATGGAGGGTCGGAAACGCTTCCTTTTACCTGTAACATACTTTTCGAAAAATCTAGTATACCCTTTTACTCTACGAGTAACGGGTAAAATACCTTATGGATTGTAAGGCATAGCTTTACTCTTTAAGACAAAAACGGATCGGATCCCATGATCGGCTGAGCATAAATTTTAAATGCCCATTACTGGATGTCGGTAAAATTTTGTTTAAAAACTGTGGGAGTAGTTCGAATTTCAAATCAAAATTGTTCTTATCTTGAAAAGGTCTGGAAGTTTTGTTAGCGCCGTATTTCACGAAATACTTTTTTAGTGCACCCCTTCTGTGTTACACGACTTAAGCCCAATTTTTCACATAATTACAGGTATTGGGATTAGGGGGAAACTTAGATTCTTTAGTAGTAATTAGGATAATTTACAGCTAAGAGTAATTAGAGCTCACCTCATCGGTATCACTACCGACTAGTAGCAAATCGAAAGGAACCGCTGCCACAAGATCGATTAAAAACCAACCGCTTAAGTAGTGAACAGCTATACGTCCAGGATGGGATACCTATAATATAGGACGCTTAAAGATTTTTGTTTTTTATTTTGGGTTCTCAACAGTACCACTTCATCCTGTGCGTTGACAAAGGTGGTTCGAAAGTTAATCAAGATATCGACGATGAAAGTAACATCCACTACAAAATGGTATTAATAACGTAACCCACCAAACACTCCAATGCTTACCAATTAAATCAATTATAACAATTGGGTCAGAGTTAATGTATTTGTTATTTCTTCTCTGATAATCCTGCTCCCCAAGCAAAAATGCCGCCACATACGGTGTGAAAATGGCCGTGTACATCACCAGAATTAATATCACCCAATCCCACACAGCTTTAAAAGGCGAATAATGTAGTAGAGTCCACTTATGGTAGTAGTTGTTCTGTAATTTCTGGTCTAGAAGTATGTTTCCTCCCAGAGAAGTAATCTTTTGAAAAAATGCTATTAAATAAATTAACAATAAAATAGATTTCGTGGCTTAGACTTACCATTTCGTTTGGATCTTGCATTTTTAGTTCACTCTTCGATCCGAGAAGTGCTTCTTTGTCCAGCATATCTTCATACGAACTACCCAATACGTTTTCTGCCGGCTTTTCACTTTGATTGTATTTCAAGTTCTTAAACATACACTCGTAAGAATTTCCTTTATGGGTTTGAAAAATGTCGCTGTTTTTTTTAAGTGATGGATCATACGAGCAATGTAAATCGCAATCCCTCCTAGAAACTGTCTGATAGTTCTTAATGTATAGCTTCTTTTTATCACATTTAATGCATTTCTTCCACGTTTTGCTACTAGTATGCTTCTTTTGTTGGCCTAATTTAAACTCGTTTGAATTATTATTATATTGGTTTTGATTTTCTCCCATTACGGCTATACCTTTTTTTAAACTTTCCCTTTTATTTTTTTTTTTTAATAAAGGAGGTAAAAAAAAACAATCTTCAGTGTTCTTTAAACTTTGTTTTTCCTTCGACTTTAAGTTGATTTTTAGTTCTGGTGTACCATCACTATTAGTGGGCCTAGACTGAATGAATTTGTGATAGACCAAAGTGCTGTGGTCAGGTACACTATTAGGAAATCTTGACAAACTATCCTTTTTGTCGTCGAACATACTAGCGTTTATCAAAATATCTGAAACAAAAATTTGTTTCTTTTCTATCTTATTAAGGTTGCACATAAGTGAAAAGAGTTCCCTTTCCACAAATTGAGTGGGTTTTACAATCCAGTTCCGTTTGAATTCCGTTAAAGGTGGTTTCTTAGTTGTGTCATTTATATTATTATTGGACATGTACAGCTCGCATTGCTGCACTATTTTATCCAGTTTTCGAATTTCGCTCAGTTCCACGCAAGACTTATGCGACATTTTTAAATCTGAATCGGAATAAAAAAGGCATTCGTTTTTAAAAACATATACATTTTTTTATGGTCACATAACGTGTAAAAAATTTCTTTTTTTATCTAATGCACTTTCTTATTTAATTCTAAAATCAAACAAAACCAGGTATTGATTTCTAAAGATTACCAGCGATAAACATTCGTATATAAATAAAAATAAAAATTGGCATTTATTTTACCGTTAAACTTCTCGCTTAGGTATTTATCTTAAAATTTGTTCGGCTATAACATGCAACGAAATCTAATTTCCTAACAATAATAATCATAAAAAAGTTATTGATTGTATCTTCAAGCTTTATTATCAGAAATTTTCAGACATGCGCATCGGTGTACCTTTTAAGCGGAGTACTGATAGAAAAACCCTTTAATTAGTCAAAATCGTATTCTTTTCAGAGTTTGCCCAAACTGGTCTCACTATGAAAAAAATATGCCAACAAAATGTTTAATCTATAACGGTTTAAAATCAAATATTGCCAAAGAACACGAGAAATGCATTGCGAGACATGTTTAGGATATTTAAATTTTAAATTGTTTTTACTAATTATAAAGCATAAAAGGTAGCATTGATTAAATCTTTTATCGCGGGACCTTTTTATATTTCTCAAGCAATAACATTTTGATTTTTGAAAACCGTCCGTGATTTTAAAACGCAATTGAACAAGACAAAAAAAATTCTTAAATTTACGAAAATTCGACATTCATTTTGTTTTGTGTAAAGCCTAGTTCTCACGTCTACGAAAACCGCGAGCTAACCATAGGAGTGAGCGAGAGGCTCAGCGCAGTACTCAGATAAGCTAAGGAAATACCAGAAAAATACCAGATTTAGCGAGTGAATTTCGATGAACTCCGTTAGCCGCGGATTAAAGAATAAGAAATTTAATCTTTGGCGGTGTTTGTGCAAAGGCGGTGTGGAAATTATAAAATAAAAATGGAAGGAAATCCCCAAAATCGACTGCAGGAGGTCAGTGCAGATGAAATAATCCAAGCTGTTGCCCATTATTGTGGGATTTCACCGACAGGAAGCAATACCACAACAGGGCAAATCCGCAGAACAGTTGCAGTGCTGGAGGATATCCGCTAGGGAATCCCAGTGGGAAGGAACATGCCGAGTGGGACTTCGCTCCCTACATAGAGATCCTGACGGGCGTGTCCTCAAAAAGAAAGGAAGATCTGGCCATAAGAATTTGGCTGTTTTACTAATAGAAGTATATTTTTAGCAGAACCACCAGTAATACGATCTCTGACGACCTCCCCATTAGGACTGCGGATACCACCAACACCAGCTACTTGGAATCTTAAGCGGAGCTGGAGGACGCACTGGCTTCTATAGGGAAGAGGAAAATAGGGCGCCCGCTAAGGAACAGTTGAAGAAGCTATAGCCAGCCATTGTCAATCCAGCTCCCACTTCCTCAAAGTCCAATATGCCCATTGGGACTCGGAGCTGGACTGCGGTGGGGCGGGAAAGATTGCGCAGCATCCGTGAGACGAGAAGGAAGCTTAAACTACTAATTTACATAAATAAAAACATTCGTTAAACATTCCATTTATTTTAATTTTATTTTCTTTGTGCACCAGCAGACTCTTCTTTTTAAATTGCTTCAATTGATTTGTTTTCCGTTTGCCAACAAACCCAGCTGATTGACAGTAAGATGCTACATGCATTGCGGGTGAACTTTGAAAACTTCTTCTTTTTATAATGTATGTGTCTATTCTGTCTATACACACAAAAAAAAATCAATTGGTAAAATTTACCAATATAAGAGTAAAACGGTCCCCAACCATCGAATTGCCAATTTAACCCATCAAATAGTTACTCTTACGTAACACGGAAGGTTTACTATAAAAATAGTTGTTACTATAAAAAAGGGTAGAATGGACCCATGGACCGTAGTTAAACACCTATTTTTATATGTATCCAACCCATAAAATATAGTTGGCAAATTTTGTATAGTAAATATATACCTATAAGTGGATAGAGTTTTTAATTAAGTTCATATTTACGTAAAGTTGGCATGGTAATTTATAATAAAAATAAGTAATTTTCGAATTTCACTTTTTAATACGCTAGACCCAGTTGGTCAATCGATAGGTATTGAAGAGATAAATACATTTTTGTTAAAGCCTAGTACTCACATCGACGAAAACTGCGAGCTAACCATAGGAGTGAGCGAGAGGCAAACAGGCGGCTAAAGCTTTTCGTCGGGTCTGTTTTTCAGAGAGGTACTCAGATGAGCTAAGGAAATACCAGAAAAAATACCAGATTTCGAGAGTGAATTTTCGATGAACGCCGTTAGCCGCGGCCCAAAGAATAAGAAATTTAATCTTTGGCGGTGTTCGTGCAGAAGCGGTGGGGAATTTAAAAATTATAAAAGGAAGAAAAACACCAAAAATCGGCTAAAGGAGGTCAGTACAGGTGAAAAAGGACGCCTAATCCAAACTGCTACACATTATTGTGGGACTTGACCGACAGGAAGCAATACCACAACGGGGCAAATCCGCAGAATAGTTGAAGCACTGGAGGAGATCCACCAGAGAGAATCCCAGTGGGAAGGAACATGGGACATCGCTTGATCTCCGATAAGCTTTCCATTGAGGACTCCACCTCCACCAGCTACTTGACAGCTAAAGCGGAAATGGAGGACGCGCCGGCTTCTATAGGGAGGAGAAAATAAGGTCGCCCGCTAAGGGACAGCTGGAGGAGTCATCACGAGCCATTATTGGCCAGCCTATTGGGACTTGGAGCTGGACTACAGATGGCGCGGGAAAGATGGCGAAGCATCCGTGGAACGAGAAGGAAGTCTTAAACTTCTAATTTACGTAAATAAAAACATTCGTTGAACATTTTATTTACTTTTATTTTAATTTCTTTGTGCACCAGCAGACTCTTCTTTTTTAAATTGCTCCAATTGATTTCTTCTCCGTTTGGCAACAAGCCAAACAAAGAACAAGATTTTTCAACTAGTGAAACTCTTAGCCGATCTGAGTACAAGGCTTAACATATTTTTTTAGTATCAAAACTAAGGGCGTCACAGTTTTGGGCGGCTTGTGGGTAAACCGATTGGTATTGACAAGACTAATACATTTCAGTTAACATTTTTTTTCTAACTTAAAAATTGTGGGAGCCAGAGGTTTGGACGGCTTGTGGGCGTTAGCAAACTTACGCTGCGTACAGTTACGTGCGTACGTGCAGTTACTCTTTTTATTCGAGTATTGAATCTGTAGGAACCACAGTATTGGGCGGCTTATGGTCGATAGAGAGGGCGTGGCACACTGACGAAACATACATGCGCTGCGCAGGAATCTCAAGAATAGTTTCCGAGATCACAGCGCTTATACGGACAGACAAACAGACAGACGGACATGGCTAGATCGACTCGGCTAGTGATCCTGATCAGGAATATATATACTTTATGGGGTCGGAAACGCTTCCTTCTACCTGTTACTTACTTTCCGACGAGTCTAATATACCCTTTTACTCTGCGAGTTAAGGGTATAAATATGTATATTCTCTAAAAACTTCAACTTACTTCCACCAAAGGCTATAAAATACCAAGATGTGTAACCAGGAGTACAACAAAGCTCACACGTATATGAATCTAATTTATAGAGTGCCGTTACTTTGCCATTCTGTCTCTTAATTGCTCTCTCGCTCCCGACACTCCGCGATGCCAAAAAGTCAAAATTTAATTTTAGGCTCATTTGTCGATTCTTAAATTATGTTGACAAAAGGGAATCGACCCAAAAGGCACATTGCGCCTTACGATTAGTAATGGGCTGAGGCGCATTGCGTGAGTTGTTGGTCCGCGGATAATGCGATCGAGGATCAATTCCACTTTGAGGCTGGCTTTAATTGTTTTATTTATATATATTTTTCTTTTTTTTCTAGCTGCTTTTTATTTTATTATTTACCTGTATTTTACTTGAATATTTTTAATTTTTTGTTCTTTATAATTTTCTTAATATATTTTGTTTATAGCTTTCCTAAATATTTATTTGTTATTTTAAATTTTTATGCAAGATTTCTACTGTCAATCAGCTGGATTTATTGCCAAACGGAATACAAATCAAATGGAGAAATTAAAAAAAAAGTCTGCTGGAATGTTCAAAGAATTTTTTTGTTTATGTAAACTTGCCATCTTTCCCGCGCCATCTGTAATCCAGCTCCGAGTCCCAACAGGCATTTTGGACCTTGAGGAAGTGGGAGCCGGATTGAAAACGGGGTTGTTCCCTCGCCCAGCATCCAGTTGTCCCTTAGAAGCCATCCGCTTTAGCTGCCAAATAGCTGGTGGAGAGTCCTGAGGTTCCCCAATGGAGAGCTTGTCGAAGATCGTTCCGGTGGTCCTGCTAAAAAGATACTTCTATTAGTACAACGTTGCGGGTTTGCCCTGTTGTGGTACTGCTTCCTGTCGGTGAAGTCCCACAATAATATGCAACAGTTTGAAACAGGCGTCCTCTTTTATCTGCACTGACCTCCTACAGTCGTTTTTCGGGTTATCTTTCCATTTTTACGCGGCGCGGCCGCGGCTTACGGCGTTCATCGAAATTCACTCGATAAATCTGTTATTTTTATTTTAAAATGTTTTGTTTTTTTAATTAGGTATATAAAATTTAAAAAAAATAAAAATAAAAAAAAAGTAGTCCCGCCTTTTTTTAAGAAAAAAATTTTGTTCTTGTCAAAAAGTTGTTTCTTAATATGTTTTTTTTATGAAAAGATCAAACTGAATATAATATATTGGCGTTTTTTATTTACCATTTTTTAAGTGAAATTTTAATTTTATAATTGTTAACATTATAATTCTTAACAAAAATACTAAAATCCTGTATATCAACGTTAAGTAAGTGAAATAATATTGTAAAATAACTTTAAAGTAATCGTCGTTTAACAACAAAGATATATGCACATTGTTTTTTTAAGAAAACATCGAAATTGGCATTTACCAGACAAAAGTACGGGAAATACAAAGTATTAAGTAGAGGCGTTAAAAACTAAATTAAAGAGAAAGTCCGCAAAAGTGCGCTTTTATACTAACTGAGCTTAATGAGAAATAAATACTCTACAAGATAAAAAGGTTTCAGAGGTAAAAACAGCTTGAATCACTTTGTAGCTCCATTTAAAAATACAAAATAACTTAAATATTTAGTTTTTAATTTTTTGAGGTTAGATATTACAAACGAATATACGAGTATTACAATCAATAAATACAATATAAAGGTCACAAGCACAAGTTACAAACCTCTCTGATTAAATGGTATTTCAAGAACTGCAGTGCTTTGTTTAGTTTTTCACTATTTGTCAATTTAAACTAATAAGAACAATACATACAAAACAATGCATCAGGATAACATCAATATCTAATGCTTTTAACAGAATCACTTTGTAGCTCCATTTAAAAATACAAAATAACTTAATATTTAGTTTTTAATTTTTTGAGGTTAGATATTACAAACGAATATACGAGTATTACAATCAATAAATACAATATAAAGGTCACAAACACAAGTTACAAACCTCTCTGATTAAATGGTATTTCAAGAACTGCAGTGCTTTGTTTAGTTTTTCACTATTTGTCAATTTAAACTAATAAGAACAATACATACAAAACAATGCATCAGGATAACATCAATATCTAATGCTTTTAACAGAAAGTTTTAACAGTGCGCACCACTGTTAAGGTATCTGCCGTGAAAGCCTGTTTTTATTTCAACGAGGCGGCAGCGCTAGTAAATCTCCTTTTATTCCTAATAGTTTAAATTGTTAAAAAGTGTAAAACTAAACAAAGCACTGCAGTTTTTGAAATACCATTCAATCAGAGGGACTTGTAACTTGTGTTTGTGACCTTGATATTGTATTTATTGATTGTGGTGCCCGCATATTCGTGTTCTAGTTCTAACCTCAAAAATAAAAAACCATGATTCCAGCTGTTTCCACCTCTGAAACCTTTTATGTCTTCTAAAGAATTTAGTTCTTATTGAGCTCGGTTAGTATACAAGTGCACTTCTGCGCACTTTCTCTAAAATTTAAAGACCTGTACCTAATACCGTAAATTTCTCGCATTTTTGTCTGGTAAATGCCAGTTTCGATGTTATCTTAAAAAAAAACAGTGAATTATTATATCTTATTAAATAACGATTATTTTAAAATTATTTTACAAGATCATTTCACTTACTTAACTTTGATATAAAGGATTTTAGGATTTTTGTTAAGAATTATAATGGTAACAATGTACAAAATTACAATTTCACTTAAAAAATAGAAAATAAAAAACGACAATATTTTTCTTAAATTCAGTTTGGTTTTCTTTAAAAAAAAATTAAGAAAAAAAATGGTTTATTTAATTACCAAGAAAATGTATTTATTTTAAAAAAAGGCGGGATCACGCTTGTCTTATTTATTTTGTTCCCTTTAAATTTGATATACCTAATTTAAAAAACAAAACATTTAAATGTTGCTTCGTTTTTAAGTTATTAATTAATGCCACAAAAAGTAGAAAAATTCCCCATAGTGCACTGCTGGAAATCACTGGCCGCGTTTAGCAGAACAACAGATAAATGATTACTGTTGGATAAGTAATCAGTGTTCAAGTGTTCTGCTGAACGCTCATGATACATAACGACGTCGGCGAAGTAAAAAATGTTTCCTATGAAACTCCACTATGTATTTCAAAAATTTTTTAAATTAGTCCTAGTGCAAGGTTTTGACAATCACTTTACAAACAAATGTCTTTTTTAATAAAATTGCGTTTGTAAAATCTATCTGCCACTGTAACTGCAGCATTGCGCACAGCAATCGTGGACACGTAAAAATCGATCAATCAAATCTTATCGATGTTTTACTCATATATACGCTTACGCCAGCAGTATGGTATCATGTATTACGAAAAGGTAACGTACTATTTTTAAGTTCCATTTTTACTGATCATGATGCGAGAATTCTTGCAACATGATCCGTAATCAAGATAGAACCGCTTGGACCCTTTTAAGTACTTATAACACCTTCATCCTTTTTTGACTATATCCATTTTGTAAGTACCCATTTTGGGATGTGGATGCGCATTGAAATGTTTTTTCCTGTAGATAAGCTTATACGTTTTGGTGCAACAGAGGGCAGGTCATGCCACGGACTTAAGCTGGAGGTTGGCAATATCCTTAAAAAAAGCATAACAATATTTTTTTCAAGATGAGATCAATTGCTGAGTTCCAATCCGAAGCTCCACCAACAATAATTTGCTTATCCGGCGCCATTGCAGTGCATATTCTTTCCTTCTCATTCCGTGTGTGCGGTCTCACTGAAGCAAGTTGTAGAGAATTGTGAGTTTTGTATGTAAAAAAGTCGCTGAAGCGGTATCCCCCTCTGTGTAAGTAGGCTATTACCAAAGAAGCTGAATCAAAAAAAGCTGAGAAACGGAATACCATGTGAAAAATTGGTTTTATAGCAATGAAAACACTTTCTAAAAGTGGACTTTCAAAAAAATTGGACATATTCAATAAGTGCCAAATAGGTTAAGAATAGTCTTGTACTATTCAAACGGAATTTTTACGACCTTTCCGTTAATGACAAAATGTACTTGAAGTAAGTTAAAATTAAGAGTATATTTAACTTTTGTTTCGTAAAAATTCTTATGCCGACTAGTATACTTAACATTTCTTGTGCTTTTACGCCTTTAACCCTTTAGTTGTTTGTCAAATTCCTTGCAAAAAAATCAAATTCAGAAATTTCGGTAAAGAATAAATCGGCATCGAAACTGAGAGACTTGAGTGCGAGAAAGGAAACGCTTTAAATTTTGTTAATTTATCTTTTTTTACCGCCACTCACATAAAAATTTTTTTAGATTACATTTTCCTTTTAATAATTTAGTAATTTAGGTTACTACAATTGACTTACTTGGGCATATTTTTATACCCGTTACTCTTAGAGTGAAAGGTAAAGTATGTAACAGGTAGAAGGGAGCGATTCCTTGATCAGGGGATCACTAGCCGAGTCGATCTAGTCATCTCCGTCTGTTTCTATGAACGCTATGATCTTGGAAACTATAAGAGCTAGAATGTTGGGACTTGGCATGCAGAGCGAGTTTGTTTCAGCAGGGTGCCATGGCCATGCCAAAAATGATTGAAATCGGAAAAAAGTTATAACCAAACAATAATTAATAATGGATGAAGGTTTTACGTTACGTGGCGTTTTAGTGATATCTTGTAAACAGCCGCTAGGAATGAACGATAGGTGGCGCTTTTTTTTTAGCTGTGTAACACGTACCTGAGTTTCACTAGTCAAAAATCACATTCATAATCATACTCATAGTTCAGT